TCCACCTGACTCGCAGCATCCGTTACGTCGACCTAGCTGCCCAAGACAGCAACGGTTTTCATCCAAACAGGGGTGAAGTGCTGAACCCTGCTTTTGTTGGAGATCCTAGCCGATGAATGACTGAATTCACTGTGGACAATTTAATCTACGCAACAACTCAGCAACCCTCTAAGATGTGTGATGTTTGAAGGAGTAACTGCAAACAAACCCCTGTATGGAACATGAGAGGTATTTTATAGAAGGCCTCTGCTACAACAGTTCATCTCTCACCACAAGACTAAAGGTGTGAACCCATGAACAGGAAGTAAGAACTACTGTACAATAAGATAGGTCCCTTTTTGGAGAAATGACATGTTAAACACTTCCACTGCTCATATATTAGCAGCACAAGCAGAAATAACACGAGACATCCAATCATGTTACTTTATTAGCTGCATCAACAGAGCAACGGAAATTCAGTCTCTGTGTCTCTGCACCTGTGATACACGATGTGTAAGGTACAGTAAATGTCATTTTCTGGTAGATAATTTTCAGCTTAGTTAATTAATTAACTAACTAATAATTAACTGAACTTACTAAATAATATGGTTGTGATACATGTGTTTGCATAAACAATTGACTAAAGTAAACACTATATACTTTTCAATGAGTTACATGTCATTGTTTTCAGTCAGCAGTTGCTGCTCAAGAAAATGTGCCGTATTTGTATAACATGGATCTTATATCATTGTATTATATTACATTGTTTGTAACTATCCTTTAAGCAAGCTTGTTTTACAAATACATTCAACCTTTCAGTTTATTCTGTTTTGGCTTCTCGATTTATTTGTTGGGCAAATGATAAATTGTTCTCACACGGAACATGTTTGTGGTCGTTGGTCACTGTGGTTTCCTGATGACTTTGTTCACCTTAAAAGAACACAAGCAAATTCACACAGTCTGTGACATTAATAAAGTGGAACATGTTAGTAAATGACACCAAAATACTGCTATACAAAGTACTGTTGTGCATATTCCAACTCAGAGTAGACTCGTACTAAGGAAGGGCCCATTAGCAGTATTTAAAGTACTTACAGCAAGTCAATGAGGATAATGCTTTATACGACCTGAATAACAAAGGAGTAATTCATTTGTTTGGGGGATTGGTGATGAGTTCAAGGACTCTAGGTTTCATGAAGTGGTTAACATTCTTTACAAAAATAAAATTGGAGAACTCGTGATTTCTAAAAAAGATTCCTTAATATCAGAAAAAGGAAGTGAGAGCAACAGGATAGCACATGTTGAAATAAAGTTAAGAGATTTAAACAAAAATAATAATAAAAAAGAGCTAATATAGCTCCTTTCCCCTTTTGGTATGGTTTATGGCAGTAGTATCGTGGGAACAGTTCACAGCACAAGACACGTTTAAAAAATACTTCCCCAACGTACGTCTGATGTGACAAAAGTCTGTGCAGACCAGAAAGTGCATGTATGGTGTGTTAAAAGTGGAATGGAAACTATAAGTAATTTCACAATAGGAGGAAATTACATTGGTACAGCACAAGCCTTGTCACTTTATTTGCAGGTCTGACCCTGAGAGGACAAGATGGATTCTTTAAAATGGACTCTGTTTTTGGTGTACCTAAACATCCACGGTATGTAACATTCTCTACACTGTATATGACAAAAAGTACAATTAAACTGTCAGCTTTATGTCTTTGTGTATTTTATTTTGTGTTGTATTACAGTTATTCAAACTGAAAGCTCACCTTGGACAATTAAGGTGCCATCCTCAGTTAAAGGTCTCCCTGGATCCTGTGTGGTGATCCCCTGCTTATTTAACTTCCCAAATCCTCCAGGGAAGACACTCACTGGATTCACAGGGATGTGGACTGATGCGACAAATCAGATCTTCTATCACCCAGATAAGTCTAAAGTGATGAAGCAGTATCAGAATCGGGCAGAGCTGATCGGAGACGTCGGGCAGAAGAACTGTTCACTTAAGATTGATCCCCTTCAACAAAGTGATACAGGACCTTTTCATTTCAGGATTGAAATACAAAACTTGGACAAATATTCTTACAGAGAGAACACAGTCTCTATTACAATGATGAGTAAGTAACATTTTCAACAAACATCTTTAAAAGTACAGTTAATGCCTGCATTTTCCCAGAAGTCTGTTTTTAATTCTAGTGTTGTTTCCTTGATGTTTTCCTTTTGACATTCTGAATATTATTCAGAAATACATTAATAACATTAATAAGTCAGTCCTAAACAATGCTGGGCTCATTACTAAAAGAAAATAAATCATTTTCTTATTACTCCCTGCCAACATTAGTTACAGTACACACAGTTGATAATGGCATCCTTTCTCCTCTTCTCTACCTCTTATGTGCATGAATCCATAAAAATTGCAATCTAGATGAAAAGCACACCTTGCTCAAACTGATGACAAGACACAATCTTTTACTTTCCCAAGAATCTGTCTGAAATGACTGAGTCAAACATTTCATCCACTGCATATTCAGCTACAAGCTTAATTAGGTCGTTGTCGCTTGTAGCCTGCTGTCCACGATTAAATTCCAGCTATGTTTGTTAAAATCAGAGTAATGGAAGTTTTCTGACCGCCATCGTGTAGTGGCACTGTTACTGTGCTGATCCCAGAACACTGAAGACAGCAAAATGAACTATTGTTGTTTTGATAAAGTAGTCAGGCAATAATTCGCCCTTTACCATCATTCTGTGAGCAACCATAATCTGATTTGTTTATGTTGCACACGGTGTGTGAGCAGCAACAGTGAAAGTAACTTTGATAAAAGTAACTTTGGTTACCTGGCTGATAGGTTGGAGGTGTTCCTCTAACATCTTATTATGGCTGATTATCCCTCCCATATTTCAAACTGTCAAAATCAGAAAGTGCCTGCTGTCTTGTTTTGTAGAAGATAGTAGCCAGTGTCAAGGTAACTGACTAACATTTTGCACTTCCTGTGACTGTCTTATTTTAGTTAATGTCCTAAATATATCCTAAAACTTGAAATCAGAAACCTTTGAATTTGTGATGTAACTATGATGAGAATTAGTTTGATTAGGTAGAACTGCCTTTGTGGAAACAAAGCAAGTTAAGTTGTCATACAAAAATTAAGTTATCATTGTTGTTATATATGTCTAACCGGAACTGACTAAGGGTAATATATGAGATAGATGAAGTCAAAAATCTCAAGTCAGTTGCTGTGTTGTTTTTGTTATGTCAGCAGTCTCTTGATTTAGGATTTTCAAGGTCCTTGTTTAAATTTTTGTCAACTAAAGTGCTTCTACAGTTCTTAAATATCAAAACAAGTGAGGCCAGAATACATAGTTTTGAAAGACATAACATAGCTTTTGCCTGGCCTTTTGGGGCGGCAGTAGCTCAGTGGTAACCGTAGCGTGTGTGCATGATTTTATTTAGGGACCTATGTGTGTGTTTAAAAATTGAGTGAAAAAAAATGTCCCCATTTTCTTGTTGTTACAGGTGAACTAAATCCGATACATTTCTCTGTGAAAGAGGAGGTAGTGGAGGGTCAGACTGAGTTTGCGTCTTGCTCTGTGTCTCACTCCTGCCCCTCCTCTCCTCCCGTCTTCATCTGGAATCACTCTGGAGAGGCACTTTTCCAAGAACAGCAGCTTGAAAATGGTCAGTGGAATGCAACATCTAAGCTGACCTTTCATCCCACCAGAGCCGATCACAACAAGCCTTTACAGTGTACTGTGAGATACAAGGGAGGGCAGGAGCATGAAACATCCAAAGTCCTCAAAGTAAAATGTAAGTATGTGACAATAAAAGATGATGCTCGTAAGTGCCTCACAGTTAAAAAGACGATGAAAAGAATCTGAATATTTTTAAAGAATTAGAAGAACTTGGAGCAAGGAAGCCCTATTGAAGAGAATAAAGATAGCATTTAAAACAAAACCTCACTGGGGCCAGAAAGCAGGAAAATAGCTGAACTAATAATTTTCTGATCAGCTGGGATGCCCTGGAAGCTCACCTGGTAGAGTGCCCGCCCCATGTAATAAGGCTGAGTGCTTACTACACTGGTCCGTGTTTGATTCCAGCACCTTTGCCGCATGCCATCCCCTCTCTCTTTCCCCCTCCCTGTCTCTCTTATTGCCTCTATCATTGTCAATAAGAGCATGTTAAAATGCTAGCGGTAGCATTTAGCTCAAATCACCGCTGTGCCTAAGTAATAGTGATGGGAATTCAAGCTCTTTTTAGAGAACCGGTTCCTTTGGCTCGGCTCACTAAAACGAGTGGGCTCTTTTGGCTCCCAAGTGGCTCCTCAGATTTTTTGTTGCTTAAATTAATTTATTACCAAATTATGTGTAAAATTAATATCTAATGTAAATACATACATTATATCAAATGCTTATTATTTATATGGATTTATTAATATACTCAACATGGAACAGAGCGCTACAAAAATAAATGATAATACAAAAACAAAGACCCATCTCAATTAGACAAAAAGCTGCTTGATATGAAATTTTTAACTTTGCACAGTCTACACTCTGCCTTTGTACAGTCTATCACATATAAAATGTGTCCAAACTTTACGTTTCCTGTCACTAATTTTCCTCACCCTCTCCAGTGTGTAGTCTCTGTCTATGTAGCGCCAAGTTCTCTCGCTCACTCACGTCTGCCTCCTTCGTGTCCACATGCTCACTGTGCCGTGTGTGTCTGTAACACAACACCCCCCCCGCATGTGTGTGTGTACACAGATGCTACCACAGATGCTACCACAAATCTTGACCAATCACGCGGCTTTAAGAGAAAAAAATGCTAAAAAAATCCGGATCCGGCTCACATCGTTCACTTCAAAGAGCCGGCTCGTTCGCGACCGACCCATCACTGCTAAGTAAAGCATCAGAGAGCTGCTAAAATAGCTGTGGACAGCTCAACTTTGACATTACTTTGTGAAAGAGTACAAAATGTGAACATTTGTCTGTAAAAAACACTGTGGTATTATCAATTGTATGTTTCCGTGCAGACGCCCCAGTGAATGTGAGGGTTGAGCACGAGTCAGCTGTAAAGGAAGGAGAAACAGTGCAGCTGACGTGCTCCAGTGATGCTCACCCTCCTGCCAGCAGCTATGAGTGGTACAATGAAACTGGTGCTCAACTGTATCAGGGAAACGTCTTCAGGCTGCCAAATGTCTCCAGACACCACTCAGGCACCTTGTACTGTACTGCCATCAATGAAGTAGGACGAGGCAATTCAAGCCTTGTGCAGCTCAATGTGTTATGTAAGTAAACAGTTGAAAAAATGTCCTGATCAAAAAGAGAATTTTTATTTAAACATATATAACAGGAGTATGGCTAACTCACAACTGCATTTCTTGTCCTTACAGATGCTCCTGAGATTAAGGCTATATCCTCCTGCTCCTCAGAGGGAGATATGGTAAAGTGTGTGTGCATTGTTGAGTCCAGGCCTCCCAGCATGGTCCACTTTGTGCTTTCTGACAGAGTCCTGCCAAGCACCAAGGTAGAGAAACATGACTCTGTTACCATCGGGACTCTGCAAGCAGAGCTGGGATCTTCTGCGTTTCTCCTCTGTCTGGCAAACAATACGCAGGGCAATGCCAACGTCACACTCTTTTTACCTGTTAACAGTAAGGAGGTTTTACCATTTAAAGAAAGCATGATATGTGCATGACATAAGCCAATATAAAGAATGTTGGCATGAATTGTATACTGAGAAAGAGAAAAATGACACCACGTGGTTCCTGTTTGGACAGGTAGGCTGCAGAGTCTTTATATTATCATCGCCATTGGAGCAGGTGCAATTTTGGTGATACTTTTAACAGCAGTGGGAGTTGTTAAAAAATGGTAAGTTGATATTCAAAGTGTTTCTGTTTGTCTTTTCAGTTTCTTTTTTTACTATAGCATTCAAATCTGGGTGATCTAGGACATTTAAAGTGTGAATTTTTAAAAATGCAGTGGTAAACAGACACCAGAAAGGAAAATATAGGCTTACTGTACATTGAATGCATGCATGTGGAGGTATTTGGTGGAAATTAGTCTAATAATAATAGTACAACTACATCACTTTAATGGGTGCAGAAAGTCAGCTTGCAAATGTATAAAGGGTATGATAGCATGTGTTCAATGCTGCAGTTTGCATGGTTGGGTTTCAGTGGTTGTGCAAAGTGTCAATAGCTCTTTTCAGAGTCCTAAATTCAAAAACGTCACTCTGCCAGTAGGGGGAGATCTGGAGAGGAACCAACATCGCACATGAAAACCATGCAGGCAGAAAAAGATGTGGAGCTCCCTCAGTATGCTGCAACAAAAAGGTTTTAGTTGTTCACCTCAGTTTAAAAGAAAGTTTGCCCATGATGTTAAATGACACAAGGAAGCTGATAATGCGTAACCTTGTGTGTGTTTAGGCGGTAAATTTGTTAAACATGTTTGTTTTCTGCGTTCTGTCCTCAGAAAAGAGAACTATGATGATGTGCATTGCCCTGGCATTTATGCCAATGATCCTGTATATGGCAACATGGAGGTATATAAAGATTTCTTCATTCATTCATTATTATTTCCATGCATGAAAAAACAGGATGAGTTAATCATGTTTCCTTTACAGGCTAACGATGATGCAGTATACGCCAACATGTAACATCGTTGAATTCAGTGGAGGAACAGCTTCAGTCCCTCTGCATGTTGTCTAACTGATGTTGGTCAAGAAAATTGTAAAAAATATTGCTTTCTTCTGTATACAATACATTACATTATTTTTCTGTCTCTTAGAATGTTATTCATGGCTAAAAATAGCAGTAATAGAATTAATGCAACAGTTTCCATCTATCATTTTGAGTTGTGACAACATAGAATGAGTTTATTATTTAACCAATGAACTATATTAAGTAAGGTGACTTAGCTTTTCTACAATGAAAGGTATTTTTAATTACCACCTACTTAATAATTGGTAGCATAAAACGTTTTTTATCTAAAAGGCATTTTAAGTGTCATGTACTTAATAACTTCAATGATGGTTTTTAAGTTGACACACATTTTTGAATTTTGTTTATGTAAGAAATTAATTAATTTGATTAAAAAAAAACTGTTTGTATTGTGTATGTGTTATTTTGAACTGCAGTTTAACAGTGTTTGAACACACAATATTTAAAACTTGGAAAACAATAACAACACAAATTTAAATTGTCCCATACATGGCCACCAATCTTCTCAAGGTCCTGCAGTCTTTTTTACACATTATAGGAAAGACTTTTCAGATAAATTTGACAAAAACTGTAACAAACAGCAACAGACTGTCACTATCAATGTACATTTAAGTTCCAATAGCTCAGATTCACGTCAGCAAAGCACAGCACTTTGGGATATCCTTGCCCTCCAGGATTTTGGTTCCCTCGACCTCACGATTCTGGGTGGCAGCACTGATGGCGGCAGTTTTCATCAGTTGTCTATTGAGGCCTGCCTCAAACGCTTCTGTGTCCCTGTATAGCAAATTAAAAGAAAACATTTGATTTTGATTTGATTTGTTAATACATTGAAAGTATTTTCCCATGCCATTGCTGTCAACGCCTATCTGAACAGACCATTGTTATGATATTACAGATTGGGGTGGGCCCTGAAGTGCAATATACGTCTGGTCACACGCTTTAATTGACAAGAAGCAGATTTCTGCCCTGTGTATTTACACTGCCCAATGTGGATTTCATTTTCTTTCAAAATGTTGAATTGCTTACTCTAAACTCCTTGAGAACAGTCCTCTTCCTTTTCTCCAATTTTTGAATTGGTGACTGTCAACAAAGATAAGCCTAATAATTTCCATACCTAGAGAAGCATGTCTTTTATATGTACAATTGTCACTCCTGTAGCTCCTGTCCTTGATGAGACTACATCCATCATTTTTGATGTGCAATGGTCAAGTTTGGCCATTTTCATTGGAATTCTTTATTTATCTGTAGACCACACAAATGGAAGAATTCAGTCTTGCTGACAATTAGCTATACTGCATCAATTAATACTAAAACACATGAGTTAAAGAGGAACAACTCATCAACCTATGTGAACTCTGACATACAGTGGTTAAATAAGCAGGGCATTGAAATGAGTCTTAACTGTCTGAATTTGCCCAGGCATGTGATGTGGGTAGGGGAGGGGACTTGAAGTGGAGAAAAATTAAGTTATCAAGCAAATTTTATTTAGTTGTTACAACTTGACTTTTGTTTTAAACCAGTTCACGCAGAAATGTTAGTTAAAATTACAACATTATTAGCAACATTATTATATCAGCAGAACTAATAAAACATTTTTTGCAACTTAAAGGTCTAAATCAATATATTCAACCTTATAGCCGCAACAACAACAGCTGCTTCCGCCAGAATCCATCCAGGAAACTGTTCATTCATTCCAGACATGACCAGTCATGACAAACACATTTTTGTGAAAGACGTCTCTGAAATTCCAGCGCTAAGTCACCTTCAATCATGCTTGTGGGCACACAACAAGTCTGATGTAGCAATAACATCACAGTTAAAAGATGCACTGTCATTAACTCTGCTACTCTTCTCCCAAATTCAGGTGATGGACAGCCGCAATATATGTGTTGCAGTAATAATAATAATAATAATAATAATGTTTTTTATTTATTTCTAACAAATTGATTTCATTGAACTAACACCTGGTGAGAGAAATAAATATTGTCTCATTACCGGTTGATATGTTTTCAAGATGCAATAGCAGTTGCAAAGGTGCTAGTTAGAGAAAAAAATGCAACAATCTCTTGTGATAACGATACACCTTTCCTAAGCGTAGCGATGAAAAGTGTAGGCAAGTATCTGGTAATTGACATGAGACAACATTGTGCCTATCATCAACCCAAAAGAGCTACAGTGGAAAGAGAAAATGGCACATTTGAAAACAAATCTGTAAAATGTTGCAAAGAGGCAGGTTTAACATGGACCAAAAATAGAGAATTTTTTGACAATGCATGAAATAAAAGACTTTTACTCTCTTTCCATTCAACTAGGTTGCAGCAAGGGAGTTTCAATAGAGGGCCTAGGCTATAATAAAGGGGAATGGGGTAAATAATATAGTTAATACATAAATTAGATGAATCTATCTCATCAAATTAGATAAACATGCAAATAAAATAAACAATGTTGGACTAGACTGCAACAACTGGAAGCTCATGTAGAGGTATGTGTGACGCCATATTTTGCAAATAGTATAAAGACTCGAAAGGTTCAGTATATTTACGTGTATAAACTCGAAGGAACCGATTCTGTTAAAAGAGTCAGTCTTTCTTCTAAAGTCTACTTAATGTTTTTATTTCAGTTAAATAGTATGTTTTTTCCACACCTAGTTTTTTTTTGTTAAGTCATGTATATGTATTTGAGGTACTACTACCCACATTGCAGGAAGCAGGAAACATCACTGCAGATCACACCATGGACACAACCTGTTCCAACTTCTCCCCTCTGGTAGGCGCTACAGAGCACTGTACACCAACACAAACAGACACAGGAACAGTTTCCCACAGGCCAGTACTCTGATGAACAGTTAACCTCACACACACACAGTGTCAGGAAAGATCCCTGTTCAATAACCCTGGGACTCTAACATCCACTGTACATGTTAACCATTTACTTTATTAAAAAAACGAACATAAATACAATAATTCAAACATATCTACCCATGCTGTCATATCCACCTACCTCATGTACAGAAAGAAACCTGCACATAAATATTTATTACAGCATCCTTTGCACTCTGTCTACTGTCTATAAATATTATTATTTGTTTATATATATGCATATATATAATTGTACATAGAGGTGTTTGTCTATTTTTTTTAGCTTGTTTATTTATGCTTATTCTGCGTGAGAGCAACATTAAACTGGAGTCAAATTCCTGACCAATAAAAGTGAAAGTCTCATTCTGATTCTGATTGATATTGTCATACTATGCAATGAAACTGAATAGTTATAAACTATAGCTTGTGTAAGTGGCACTTTCCTGTTCTCTATTAATGGCAGATGGCTTCCACCATGAACTCCGGGGAGCTCCGACTTTTCTTTCCCATCTTCACCGCAGTTAAGAGCCAACCTTCACTTCGAATTCCCCCCAACGGTAAGGAGTTTTAATAAGTTATTCATACTGGCCAGCCCAAGTTAGTCTCTATCCCTGTTAGCGGAGGCGAATTGATTAGGTGTGCTTACCAGTTCCAGACTGGTTTTCTGGAGCAATAAACAGTGGGACGTTTTGATGACCGGAAGTCACG